TGCATTTTAAATAAAACCTATTTAGCGATTAAAATATGAAATACAAAATGCGGTCGGTTATTCTTGATGACATATTTACATTTTACAGCCGTCTGTATGTCTTTAGCTTTCGTCTTTTTTCGAATATATCTAAAACTGTTTTTGAGCCTAGTCACATATGGTTTAGTAGAGAATTTTAAGCGCTTTCTTTTGATAATTAAGACAGCTTTACTTACAGTGATAATAGACAGGAAATCTTAAAAATACTGGGAGGCTCATTATTCCTGGGACACCCGATAGCTCGTCTATACATTTCTAATTGTATCGTCAATGGTAAAAAGAGTATAAATAGTCGTATTATTTGACATTACTCTTCCAAATCATTGAGAAATGACGTTGTGTCTTTACCTTACGCTTGATGAGAAGATCGCATTGATCAACAGCTATGCCGATGGAGCTGAACTATCACAGCGCAAACTATGTGAGAAGTACAAAGTATCACAGGGTTCTGTATGCAACATTCTTCAACGAAAAGACGAATACAAACACGATTTCCAATCGAATGCGAACAAAGTTGTCACACGCAAGCTGCAAGGCAAGTCGGTTCACAAAATCGAGGAAACTTTTTTCTCATGGTTTGTAGCGCAGAGAGCAAAAAATATTGCACTCTCAGGGCCCTTGACTCAGAAAAAGTCACGAGAAGTTGCCGAAGAAATTGAACTTTCACTAGGATAAGTCTCTTGAGAGCAACGTAGAATTTATATTGCGGGCTAGATTATCGAATTGCTGCACTCACATGCTCTTTGACCATTTTAGGACGCTCAAAGCATTGAATGAATGGCTCTAGAAATTCAAAAATCGTCATAGTGTAACATTTCGTGTTTTGTCTGGTGAAAGTATCCAGGTCGATTCTATCATGGTAGAAAAATGGAAGAGAATATGCCTATTCCACTCGACTCATACGCAGCGACCGATGTCTATAACGCCGGCAAAACCAGTTTATTTTTCAACCTGTTATGAAATCGAGTGTGGGTGAGGATGTGGGTATTAATCTTCTCCCAGTTCACACCCACACCCCTATGGAAAAACTGAAGATGTTGTCACCAAGTTTTGTAACACATTCAAGTAATTATGTACCTGAAATGACCAAATTTACTGACAAAATTGTTCGTAATGGTTATGCATATAAATTAAATTTAACGGTTTATTTTGATACATTAAAGTTTTATGAAAAACATTCATATGCACAATTAGAACCAGATCGAATGGATGATGTCGGTACATTATTAAATGAAGGAAAAGAAACATTAACAACATAAAAAAAAAGTAAAGAAAAATGAAGTTGATTTTTATATTATTGGGAGAAAGTAAATCTGATGAGCCTACTTGGGAATCATCATGGGGAATCGGTCGACCATACTCCGATATACAATGTGCTGCTATAACTAACATTCTGTTAGGTTCGATTGGATTTTTTTTTCGTTCTAATCAATATTTATCTTTTTTTATTTTTCAGGTTCACCATTCGACATTCACATGGGTGATATTAATCTCAAATTCCCTCATCATAAAAATAAAAGTGTTCAATGTAAAGAATATCATGCTAATGCTGATTCATGGGTCAATCTAACATATAAATATCAAACATTATCAATATCATCAAATTATATTGGTAAAACTGATCAAATACTTGAACAATATTATTTTTTAATCAAATTCATCTATTATTTCTTGTAAATTCATGGTCATCAACATTACAAAATTTTTTAGTGCGGATGAAATGCAGAAAGCAATTAATTATGATATTATGTTGCAAGATTTTCTCAGTACTATAAGACAATGTTCTGATTCAAAAAAATCAAAATTATATAAATGTTTGTGAAGAATTAAATGAACGTGATTTAAATTCTTTTAAAGAACTGTCAAAAACTAAAAAACAAGTGCATATAGCATTATGTGACTCCTTAAATGTATCAATTGCCTTGAAACATATAGCTGAATTCATGTTATTAATAAACAAATATTTCGAAGAAAAAAATGAAACAATGAATAATGAATTAAAAAAAACGCTTATATTATATGATACATATACTCAACATTTTCGGTATAAATTTCTCAGACTACTAAGAGTGTATTTTTTTGTTAAAAAAACTTTTTGTTGAATAAATTCAAAAAATTTAAAGATTCTTTTTTATCTCAAGAACCAGACAAAATTAACAAAAGTTAGACAGCAATTGCCAGAAAAACATCATAGAGGTTCTTATATTTTTTATGCTACTGATTTGCATTTAAATAATTTACATTACCGCATCATTAACACGAACGATGATAATTATTTCACGAAGAATCACCAAGAAAAAATGATATTTTTTCATTGAATAAAAAGTGTTACACTAATGGCTAACCGCCACAAGAGTAGCCGTTTTCGGTGGCAAGAACATTGCAAAAGGTGTCTCCATTGAATATGAAAAGACTTTTTCAGAGATTCTAAAGCAAAGTATAACTTAGCAATCTGCAAAAACTTTTTAGTTTCTGACATATTGTCTTTGATTCTGTACTAGTTAACCCTTTGGGGGCGGACTTATTTATTTGATAAAAAATGAAATTGTGTTGCCAACATTAATTAGACTTTGAAAGTTATTAAGAGACAATCCACGAAAAGACCATCCAGAAATATAGAGGTCGGGTGCCGAAAACTTTTACTCTTTCAAATTGCATATCTAGTTTAAAAGAGCGCAAAAAAACTTATCTATAAATCGACAAGTTTAGCATTTTCTGATCAAGTCTTAGATGACTTCCAAGATCTGAATTTTTCAAATTTTGAAATGATATATAAAAATTAGCCATTTTTGACATTTTTCTTTTATAGACATTTTCAATTCCAAAACGTTACCAAAACTATAAATATCTTATATCAATCGATAGAGCGAAATTCGTTCTACAAAACCCAATACAAATTACTTCTTATTGTATTGCCTAGTAGCACTAATAATTGTTACATTATCGAAGTCCATCAATTTCATAGCCAGTTTTAGCATATTTTTTGACCCTATTTATATCTCATATTTCAAGATCCCAGACTGAATTTTAGATATGTTGCAGAGCGTGAAAAAATGCATCTTTTCATGGAAGAATGTTTAGGGTTAAGGTACTAGCAAAATCCGCAATCACTGTCTATAAGGTGAAAAATGACATCATTTTTTTCTAGTTTTCATGTATAAATTATATGTTCTGGCTATCAATAAGCCCATCATAAACCGGTATTTCGTCTATCACTTTTGATGCAATTAGCATCAATTCCTAGAGCATTTGACATTACTAATGGGTTATGATCACAGACTATCATCGACATATTTCGAGTCTACGTGCTTTGTGATTACGGAACTTCGTTTGTAAACTGATCTCGTCGAGTTAGTTCAAAGAGTATCCTACAACATTTGATATACACTTGAACATGAAAATTGCAGTCTGTGAATGACGAAAGTCTCTGGTCGATTTATAGTAGATTAGAGAAATTATGAATTGATGAATTGAGCCAAATTGGATACGTATAGCATATCTCGCTCCGATGGAAGGGTGTGTGGAGTGTGGGTGAGGATGTATTTTGATGCGGATGCCAGTCTCCTCTACAGTCACAGTCACAATCGCAATTAGATTCACACCCACACCCACGACCAACGGTGCAAAAGAATCGATTGTACTGTTGTGGACGAGGATGAAGATGGTTTTGTCGAATGGTAAGGAAGATTAAAAATAAAGGTTACGAAAAGGCGAAAGAATCGTTGATTTTCAAGCGACCTCTCTTTTATCTTATTTCAGTCGTTGAGCTCATTCGACGAGATCAGTTCACAAACAAAGTTCTGTAACCGCGAAACACGTCCACTCGAAATGTGGAAGCTTATTCTAAAAGAAAATTTTTGATACTGTTGCTATTTTCAACTTATTCAGTGCGTACTACCGGTACAAGAGTTATCGATGATAGCCTGTGATTGTAACCCATTAGTAATGTCAAATGCTCTAGAAATTTATGCTAATTGCATCAAAAGTGATAGACGAAATACCGGTTTATGATGGGCTTATTGATAGCCAGAACATATAATCTATACATGAAACTAGAAAAAAATGATGTCATTTTTCACCTTATAGACAGTGATTGCGGATTTTGCTAGTACTTTAACCCTAAAACATTCTTATATGAAAAGATGCGGTTTTTTAACGCTCTGCAACATATCCGAAATTCAGTCTGGGATCTTAAAATATGACGTATAAATAGGGTCAAAAATTATGTTAAAACTGGCTGTCAAATTGATGGGCTTCGATAATTTAACAATTATTAGTGCTACTAGGCACTACAATAAGAGGTAATTTGTATTGGGTTTTGTAGAGCGGATTTCGCTCTATCGATTGATATAAGATATTTATAGTTTTGGTAACGTTTTGGAATTGAAAACGCCTATGAAAGAAAAATGTCAAGAATGGCTAATTTTTATATATCATTTCAAAATCTGAAAAATTCAGATCTCGGAACTCATCTAAGACTTGATCAGAAAATGCTAAAATTTTCGGTTTATAGATAAGTTTTTTGCACTCTTTTAAACTAGATATGCAATTTGAAAGAGTAAAATTTTTCGGCACCCGACCTCTATATTTCTGGGTGGTCTTTTCATGAATTGTCTCTTAAGTAACAAATGGTAATGAGTTATATTGTGAGAATATGAAGTTCTATGTGTTAACGTTGCTGGCTCTGAAGCCATTAGTATGAAGAAACCGATGGTTGTTTTCACTGGAATGATGGGTGGATGTTTTTTGTTTGAAGACTCGGTAGAAATGCCTTAGGCTATTGGATAGTTAGAGAGAAAATTAGTTGTGGTAGTGACGGTGGAGATGCAGTGCAATGGCTGTTGGGATGCTGTTTGTTAAAGAAGAATTTTTTCGTTGGTGTGGACCTGATCGAATACTAAATTCTTGTCGTCAGGCGGGCTAAGTACATCTGTGTCGAGGCCTTTCTGCATTCTCTTTTGAAGATATGTAGAGCCATAGAACTCCACATTCAACAGCATCCTATAAGACGGAACCTCTAATTTCAACAGGAGAGATTCCAAGAGAATATCATGGTTTTAGCTTTTTGTTTGTGCTGAATCTTGTTTTCGAAAGCTAGTAAAAGATTCAGGATAATTTTCTTTTTGGAACCTTCAAGGGTTCAGAAAATGGTACTGAGAAATAGAACCCTTAAAGGTTTGGTATGACATCTTTTTTGTAGAGAGTAGGAACTTTCGATAAACTCCCTTTGAAATCTCCAGGAACTCCCTGTCGTGAGTTCCTGAGGATTTTTCTGTGAGACTTCGTGAGTAGTTATTAACGGGTTCTTGATTATAGCAGTTTTTAAATCTATTATACTTCTATTCTATTGCTTAAGTAGAATTCAAGGTACAGAAAACCTAATCCTGTGGAATACTATTTTAAAGAGAGTTTTCGTATAAGTAATCAGAGAAAAAAAAAGGTTACACTTGCTGAGTGTAATAAATGCTTTGCTTTCCTTTTCATAAAATTGTTTTACTATCTTTTCCTTAAATAGTATCGAATGCTTGCATCCAAAAGGTTATAACTACAATCAAAAAATATTCAAGGAACTTTCATGCAACGATGTTTCGTCTATTCTTGACTTATATTACACTCAGAATTTCGATGACAATGAATCAGATCAACAAAAAATACGCACATATCTTGGTCTTGATGACTTTACAATCTAAAACTACATACTCCTCTTGGTATTACCTCGATTATCATCCATGACAACAAATATCAGTATAGCTATCGGTTACATCATCGTTGTGTAAATTAGGTGAGAGGCAGGCAGCGAATCAATTGACCCATCTTCATAAACAATTGATACAGTAGTTACTGTTTCAGTATATTTTGTTGTACTCAATGCTGTCATAGAATACTAAACTATAGAAATCATTCTATTGCTCAAGTTTTTAAGGAATATTTGATGCAATGCGTTTCAATAAAAAACTAACCAAGGAACATATCTAATTTTTGGATACTGTTCGATCTCATATTGTGGTTATGTGTAAGACTTAATGGAACTAAGAAAATCCTAAGAATGTTCGTCGTCATCGCGTGTCTACAAGATGTCACAGAAATAGCCTATCAAAAAGAAAATCATTTATCTTCACTGTATTTCAGTCAATTGAGCTGATAGTTTTTCTGATGGTAGAGGAAACTTCTAAGTCTTTATTTGCAAAGATAAAGTTAACGAATCATGCTGAAAAGTATTACTATTTACTTCAATACTGAATTGAAGCCTTTTCCAGTATGGTGAAACAATAGACAATAGTTTTTATATAGTTACTTCAACTTTAAACTATCCAAATATTTTCACACTTGCTCTATAATCCGTCTTTTGGACATTTTTCAAAAAAAAAACCAGCTAACGATACATATCTACTGAACAATTGATTCCCAACACGATGAAAATATTGATAATTGATGAGCTGCAAGTCGCGAGCGACTTTATAGTATTTTGCAGTTATTAAGCTTTATGCTGTTACACTTCTTTTTATAAGAAAATATCCGAACAAGTGTTAATAAAGCAAAAGTTGAGAATCTGGATGTTTCAAGATCGGAAATTGCGAAAAAAATTGAAGTAGTTAAATAAAAAATGTCGTATACTGTTTTACTATACCGGAAAATGCTTCAATTCGGTATTGAAGTCAATAGTAATACTTTTTAGC